AGTTATAAACAGATTAAGGGTCCAGATAAATTTGAAATAAGATTTTGGAATTAATTATAAATTATAAATTGTAAAGTGGACTTGTTTTGAATTTTTTCTAAGTCATAATAGAAATAAACAATTTTAAAAATTGGACTCTAGAGGAAACTAAAGACTTTAATTAAAAGAGAAGAATACATAACCTGATTAACAGCTACAGAATGACACAAAATATTGTAACATTGAAAATACTGAAGGACACTTTTGAAAAATGGAATCAGAAGTTAATATCAACAATGTCATAGTTTGCTTCTATGAATAGATTGTGTCCAAAAGATGTTATATGAGAAACGGCAGAAGGGGAACAAGTTTTATCTGACAAGACAGAGGAGTTGACAGTGGATTTACAAATGATAGGCTACACAAATGACATGGAAAAGGATGTTTCATTGGACATACAAAAGAAATCAGTTGATGCTTTAAAAATCAAAAGGAAATTACAAATAATAAACCAAGAGAGTGACCTGCATAATTCTTTTATATTGGATTTACAAAAGAGGTTTGCTAAAGCTTGAATGAATCTTGTGAGAAGGGACAAAGAAAAAATGAAAAGAAATCAAGTTCTATGATATTACTTGAATGGACTAAAATTAGATTGTTAGAAGTAAAAGGAAGGAATATAAAGTTGGTTTATTTGATCAGAGTTAAAATAGATATGTTGTTATTTCTGGCAATCCTTAATGGACTTTTGCTGACACCAGGACTGAAATGAAATGGCTTTATGGATTTGTAAGAGATGGGACAAGGGATAAAGAAATCATTGGATATAAATTAAGAGGAGGTGAAAAGTTACTAAAATTGTTTATATTTTTTGTGATGAAGTTGGAAGTAACTTCTTTATATATTTCTTTTCTCTTTCTTTACTATATTCATTTTTTCTTTCTTTCTCTATCTTTTTTCCTGCACTTTTTACTCCTTCCTCCCTCCCTCCCTTTCTCTATTAGTTTTTATTATTGCAATTATAATATTTAATAACATTATTTTTTAAAAAAAATAATCTTGGAAAATCTTGCTAAGAAAACTGCAGGGACTTGTCCAGGTAGTTGCCAGGAGTCAACACTGACTCGAAGGCACCAAAAACAAAACAAAACAAACAACCCCCCCCCCAAAAAACCCAAAAACCACTCCCAGTGAATCCTAAAATTAAATTTAAGAAATTAAGACTTTTTAAAATGGCTGAAATTTTGCAAGATTTAATTCTTTTGCCTAGGATCTTATTGGATTTCACAGAATCCTGGGGTGAGTTTTCCAACATTTTGCAAATTTTCAGCCATTTTTTATTTTTGGCACCTGGAACCTGAAAACAAGATAGGTGCCTGAATTACTCTTGACTTCATGTGCCTATATTTAGAATCCCCAGGGGAATGTTGTGATAAAAGAGCACTTTATACTATGGTCAACAATTCATGCAAACACCTTACTTGAGAAGCTCCAAAATGCCAATCACGATGTCATTGACGTAACAAAACCCAGAAGCCTGGAGCATGAAAATAAAGAAATTATGTCAGTTAAAAGGAACCACTAAGCCTTCCCGATAAATAAAGCAGACCTGACTATTACCTCAAACTTCTTGGCATGATGTAGGCCTCCAGCCCAGTTAATTGCAATATCACAAATCTAAGAATGGAAGAGAAATAGTAACTTCAAAGAAAGGACTCTTGCAAAATGAAATATCTAATAAAAGAGCATTAAAAGCTATACTTTAAATTATTTCACTAGTCTCTGTTTATCCTCTTTTAACAAACTGCTAGGAACATCTGCACTAGTATTAGAGCATCATTCTTATCATCCTTTACGACGTCAAGGACTGCATAAGCTTTTGCATAGATTATCATCAGGGAACAAAAAATATTTTTAAAAAATTAAAAAGACTTTAAACACTGTTCTTAAATGAACATGGCTTAAAGAAAAATCACAAACATAATATATAACCACATTCTATTCTGCTTTTTAATATTGAGATGGTAAATCTGGTAACTAACATCTCTCTGAAAGTGCAAAAACAAAAGAAGGCAGTAATTTGAGGCAAGGAGGCAGATCGGGGCAAGGAGATACAAATTAAAGGGCAGTGAAGAGGAACAGAAAATGAGCACAATACATTCTGAGGATCTGAGGAATAAGTATCTTCAAAACTCAATCAAAACACCAGGCCATAGAAATTTGAGGAAGTTTTAGCAAATGTTGGCAAAAAATATCCTCCAGACTTCCACAATTAATTGAAATGGAACTAGTTCATATCTGCATGGATTCACAAGTATCTGCTTATATTCAACTATCATTCCATTTCTTGATCAAAATTAATATAAAAATCTCACTAAATCATTGTTTTATATAATATGGACCTTCTAAAAATGAAATCTGTATTGTTCTCAGTACTGAGGGATATGTTTTTAAGTTAAAAATCAACTTTTACTAGAGATAATGCTTACAGAATCTCACAGACTAATGAATAAATTGTACTTTAAATAATTAGTACTAACTAGTGATTAGAGTCATAATTTAAATCAAATCTAGCCTGACGTTTGAGATGTGAATTGGAAACTTTCCAATTACTAATGAGGCGCATGCATTCATTCAACTCTAGTTATGATCATAATTCAATAACCACAAGTTATGAATGCCATTTAGCTGTATAGTTGAAAACAGCAGTTAGAAGAATGCTCTACTTGACAAGACAGCCAATATATTTACGGTATGAAAAGGGTGAATGCAGCTTCACCTCTGTACCTTATTATTCAGTTGTGTTGCTCCTTGCAAGGAAGCTCCAGTATATCGAGAACAAAATTCAAATAATCCTGGAAACACAGGGCTGAGGGAGAAAAAGGATCAGACAATTCCATGGGACTGAAGATAACATAACAGATCCATATCATTTCACTTCCTTGTTGTTTCATATTACAAGTTAAGAAAAACAAATTGGCAAACCAATTTTTGGTGAATGATAATGCACAAGATTTCAAATTACTCTTGTGAGGAAAGGGTTTTCTCAATATGGCAAACTGCCCTTAGTAAATGATCTTTACTATGACTCTTTCAATCATGGAGGGAATAGGTATTATCCTTTTTTTCTGAAATGCCTATAACAGAATACAACAAATATTATTTTACTTGCCAAGCAAAATAATAAGTGATCATGCCAATTGTACTACGTTCCAAAGATGCTCCAAAATACAACTGCCTATCCAATTCAACTTTCAGAAGTTTGCACATTTTGTACTGCACTTCTCAAGTGTTAATGCATCTCAGAAATGAATAATTACCCCCGACAAAGGTGTTCCCACATGCAAGATTTAATTTTAAAAAATATTTTGGGAGGTTAACTGCTTATACCTTTGGTGCTGAGCTTGGATCAAGTGCTTCTGAAAAAAGTCTCCCCAATTTTCTGCTTTGAAAAAAATAGTTGTTGATCTCTTACTATCATTTGCTCTTTGAAAGTTTATTTGCAATCTTTATTGTGTGCTTGCATTTCTTCTGCTGAGTTTTGTGTTTCAATTTGCTCTTCTAATTTGTGTTTTACTCTTTTTTTTAAAATAGATGTCTTTTTTGCTTTTCTGACCCTGTTTGTTGATCGTTAACCTTTAATGATTAATTATGTTCTAACTGATAAGCTATTACTGTATTTTTAAAAATATATCTGTAAGCACCTGGAGAGACTGGACTCTCTTAATTGTATCTTGCAACTTTCACCTCCTGGTAGGGACCAACAGCTACTATGAGGGAAAGATTGAAAATAAAGCATCACACAGAGTTCTGGTCACTGCATCTCAAAAGGATATTGCAGAGAAAATCAATGAAAATGAGTAAGGCACTAGAGCAGGCATAGTTAAGGTGGTAAGGCTAGTTTCTGGCTGGAATTAAGCTTCCAGGATTTGAAATGTTTGGGTGCATGGCTTAAGCCATTTGGATGTTTTGTATCCAAAATGTTCTGCCTAACAATCTGCTTAGCCCTGTCACAGCATACAATACTCAAATTCTGGTGGAAGTCCTTTATGTCAGCACTTTTCTGAGAAGTGCCATCATCGAGGTCAAGTGAAAATTACCATTAAACACCAGATTAGCAAGGATTAAATTTAAGAGAAACAAATTCTTCACTTAGGAAACAAAAATTAAATGCACAGGTATATGATAGGGGATATGACTGCACTCTTCAAATACCCGAAAGGATGCCATACAAAAGAAAGTCAGAGCCTGTTCTCTCTTGTCCCTGGGTATGTGGAATATGGAATAACATATTTTGCTTACAGGAATGGAGATACCTATTAGATGTTTAAAAAAAAAAATTCCTAACTGAAAGAACAGTTTGACAGTGGAACCACTCACCTAGGGAAATGCTGGGCTCTCCTTCAAAACAGATGACAAATGACATTTGTCTGGGACACTTTTATCTTGTTCCCTGCACTGAGTAGGGGATTGATAGCTTAAACAGCCCTTCCAACTCTGTGATTCTATGGTTTATGTAGGAAACTCATATAAAAATTAAAAGGTGCTAATATATGGCTTACTTCTTTCTGTACTAGAACCAGATTAGAACACTGGCTTTGCAGATACTAAAACTCTCACGTCTGTAACCTTCAACTGGGTGAAACAGTACATCATAGGGCAACAATTTTTGAACCAAGGTAACTTGGGCTAACTTATGGAATGCATCCAAAATCCAAGACCCATTACTCCTGAGGGACTGAAATTTGTGGCCGCTTCAGCACTGCTGCGCCGCTGCAGTCAGCCCAGGTCACATGATTGTTATGGATGTATCCCTGACCTTTTTCCCATCTCCCTCTGTCCCATGTGCCTAATCAGTTGGCGCCAAGGCCTAACAGGTGAGCAGCAATTAGCTGCTTTGGAAACAAGGCAGACATTTGAAATCTCTTAATAGCTGTGGTGTTGAGGAAAGGATGAGGGAGTGATTTAGATGTCTGCTGGTGAGGTAGGGCTGGATGGGGTGGGTGCTGGTGGTTGATGGGTGAGCCCTCTTCCTCCCTTGAAGGAGGGGGCCCCTGGAGACATGCCGGAATGGGGAGTGGGAGTGCAGTTTTCCTCATGATCTGTGGCTCCCTTTGTTCCACCTCCCCTCAGCAAAGTGGCAGGCAGTTCCATGGAGGAGGAGGAGGTGGCTTCATGGGGGTTCTGCTGAGGGTCCTGAGGGGAAGGCAAATGGCACAAGCCTGTATTATATGTGGAGAGAGAGGGAGGGAGGGAAATATCTGATGCTCCCGGCCAGCCTCCCACAAGCAAAGTCCATGGGGAAGCTGGTAGCAAGTCATAAGATGGTCACACTCCCACTGCTTTTTTGCCCTTGATCATTCTGTTTCTGTTCAGGTAAGGAAATATCTCTGAAATGATGACCCAGTGGGTCACGGCTTATCTAATTACATCTAATTGGGTTGGGTTGGGTTGGGTTTGCATTTTCATGTAACTTATAAACAAGCAGGAGGAATCACCTACCAAGTGATGAGGACTTACATTTTTCCCACAGAATTTCTCTTGAGATTGAATCAAAACAAACACCTCATTGAATGAAATCTTAGGCTTGGTCACATGTTTCCTGTATTTGCAACACAAATCACTGTTTGACAGTAGATCAACAGACTCTGAATCCAGCTTTCCTCCTCTGTAAGTATTTTTCTGATCCACCCAATCCTGAACTTTTCCACATACATATATTTCATATAGCTTGTTTGTATGTGTGTGTGTATTTACCTTTATGTTTTTTTTAAAAAGAGTGTAACAATCACTATATCTCAGTCACTAAAGAAATGGCAGTTTTGTTAGACATGCAGGATAACCCCTTCCACCCCTGCTAATCAATGTAACTAATTCTGCTAGGATATAATCACTGCCTGAGGCTTTACCCCCTTTCAGCTGATGAATCCTTTTGATTTCAGAGACTAAGACTGCTGGCCAATTAGTTAATGAGTCAGTAGTAAAATCAAACAGGACAAATTAATTGCTATTATTATGGCAAAGTGAACATAGGCTCCTACAGGGATTCTCAGACCTTTCAAAATATATCTGAGCTAAGCTGACCTGCAATAATTCACCAATTACTGGTTGTATTTCTAGACTCCACAGAAAAAAATAACTGCTTACATAGGTGCTGCATAACAGCCTCCTCTTTGCCTTCAAGAGAGAGTTACAGTTTTGTGTTAAATCTAATAACATACAAGTGGTGCTAGAAGGGGGTCCAACATTACAGTATGGATCTTGAAGAGCCTTATAGGAGACTTTTTTGCTTCTATACACACCTGATCATACCAAACCTTAGAGAATGGAATGCCTGAGTGCTTGTTGGCAACAAATATCTGTAGCTCCTGAATTAGAATGTTATCACAATCAATCATAGACTTGTTTGAAAAATCAGTGCCTGCCTGGAAAACTGTGATGCCTTTTGAGTGATCAAGTTAAGCCACTCTGTGCTAGTTCCATACACCTGCATTTAATCCAAGCAGGTCCACCATCATGCACCACAGAGCTGGTAAATCATCTCTCTCCTTAGGAGCCTTTTAGGAACTGACAATGTAGAGTCAATAAAAAATAGTTGTGTCAACTTTGAAGGCTTAACCTGAATTAACCATGATTAACCTGAATTAACCATGATTAATCAAACAGTAAGAGATCAGCATATAATCAAGGCTCAATTTTTTCAATCTGGACCAGAATTTTACCTTCTCAGACAACTGCCTTTCATAACACCATTTACTAGTAAACTGTACAGATAGTACCTGGTCATTTACTTTTTGGTTTCCTAAAGGATCACAATATAATTAGGGCTGTGCAGCAAACTGAATCGAAAGCTGAAAAAATAATTTGAAGCATATATGGGTGCTCATGTCCCACCTGTCAGCACCTCAAACATTTCATTTCCTGTGATGGTGCAGTGGCCACCATATGAGATTGAGATGCAGCTTTTTAAAAGAGTTGACAGGTATGATGTGAGTATTCCCTGTCAAATCTGGACTGCTGCACAATGTTAATTTATTATACCAGCAGTTATACTGATAAGCACTGAAAATATAAACATAGATCAAATCATTGTTCCCCATTCTGACATTTAAATAACCTATATATTACATAAACAGAAGGTTGTCAGGATTTTCTTTCTCATGGGAAAGGATTCATCCCGTTATCTTTACAACAATAACAAATAATATTT